TTGTGTCGTAAAAAATGCATGCTCCAAAATGTTGCACAACAGTTGGTTGTTCGAAGTCCAGCAAATGAAATGATATCATGAATCCATTTTCGGCTATAAGCATGCCATTATATTATTTAAATCATAACTTTTTTGACTATCTTGTTTGTCTTTATGGGAATTAGCTTCATTAATTGCAGGCAATGAAGCATCGTAAACTATATGAATACTTTTAATAGAATTAAAAGCAAAACACGCAGGACATGCATTTGCTTTTTTAAGTAGCATTATTCTCCTTTTTTTCTTTTTTAAAGGAAACCCTCCAGTGGTAAGTGGTTTTCAAGACAACATAAAGACACCTTAATTAACAACTACCAAAAAAAAAAAAAAATTTTATTGGTTGTTACTCATTCTTACAATAGAAATTTTGTTCCCCTGATATAGGAAAAATATTAATCTAGTAAATTTTATCTACGTAGCTTCTCTCAATGTTACGATATAACCTACATTTCTTTAATACAGTCAACGCATCATCCAATTCTCGACATCGCTTTTGATCAGTCGTTGTATGCAATTCATTCAGTGCCGCAATGACTTGTGATAGCATAGCATTATCCTTGTCATCCATTTCGGATTGTTAACTTCTTAGCAGAATAAGTAACCTAAAGGAGAATGAACCGTCCAGACTACTAACATACTAAACAAATATTGATCTAGTAATTGTTCAGACTACTAACATACCAAAAGCCCATAAAAAATGTGTAATACGAAAGAAACTTCTTTTTGATTTTTAAAAATGTAATACGAAACTTCTTTTTGATTAATAAATACTTTTTTTTTAAAATGATTTTTCAATATATAATAAATTTGTAATCTTTAATTATCCAAATTGTTTACTTTACTTGTCAATATAAAGTAGAAAGTATTAGAATGCTACTTCTTTATTTGCTTGATTTATATAAGCTGAAATTAATCAAAACGTCCACCATTTAACATTCAGTGGCAACAAAAACACTACATATATAATACTTGATACTGTTCTCGCAGATATGTTACGATTCCTTGTGTGTTAAGTCATTAAACAAATATTTGCATGCGGGGGAAATATAAAACGAGAAGAGCATAACAATATTAACAATACAACAAATAATACGATTCCTGCTGAATTACAATCGAATTTTTCTCTTGCGATTTGTAATCTATGAAATGCAAGGATGATTAACTGCTGGAAAATATGAATCAAAAGTGAATCTAACTTTTTTTTTTTTTTTTTTTGGAAGGACCAGACGAAAATAGGCAACGAAAAAGGGACTCTAAATGTGTGTGTGGGCTTGGGGAGAGAATGCATTTCCAGTGATAAATTAATACATCCCTTCCTGTAATCATCTACAAAGTAAAACGAAAAAGCAACCCTATATTTTCAAAACTTACTGCATGCACTCGGAATGCGTGCAGAGAATGCACGCCAGCAATCGTACTACCACACTATAGCACCAGCTTAGAAAGAAATAAACTAATACACTTTCCAAAATCTTAACAACTTCTTTCGGATCTCGTTGGCTTGCAGATGAAAATTTGTTCGCTTTAAGTACTCAGTTATCTGAGCGATAAACATTTTATGGAAGTTTGAATCACATAGTGAGGGGTAATATGATTTTCATTAAACCTCGGGTAAGTTGAGCAAAATTTGAGAAAAATGAATTTGAAACCTAAAAATCGCTAAGTCTGTTTTTTCCTTCATTCATGATAGAATTGTTTCCATAGCTGTTGCATTTGTCCACTAATCACACTTTTTCCCTTAGGTTAAATTTTAGTTAAGTCTGCTAACGTTTGACTTGTCCAGTTCAAACTTGCAGTTGCGTTCATGAAGATGGATATTTTTCATTACCATATAACTTTATGGCAATTTTGAACAAGTCAAATTTAACGCCTTATCAGATTTAATCTTTTAGACCGTATTTTTCCAGACATATATATATATATATAATATTTTTAATCGTCTCTTTGGAGATATATTTTATACAAAAATAATTTGTTCGAAGTAGTTGCAGATTAACATTGCTCATATAAGAAAGATGAGAGTTAGAATGATGTAATAATTTGTTATAATTTGATGTAGTAACTTCCACCATTTGTTAACAACCTACAATCTATTCGATTTACTAATTTTCACAACGATGCGCTATTACTGATCGAAATGATCAAAATACCAAAGCAGTTCTATGATAAAAGTATTCCCACAGTAGAATTCAATCCATTAATCAATTGTTTCTTTCATTTCTCGAAATGTTTACAATCCATTTCACTCGTAAATGCAAATGATCCATGCAGGGGCATAATATTATTGGATCAGTGATAGAGCCAAATTTTGATTTGGAATTTTATTCATCGATTTATCATACTTTTATTTTTGTCACGTGACATATTTTCATTTAATTTTTTTTTTCGCAGCAAATGTATTTTTCAAATGTAAGGGCAAGAAAAATTTGTATTTAAAAAGTAACGCTGTATTTTAGTGAGAAAAGAATTGAACCATTTAAATCATTCTATCCAAATCGGGTTTGTTGAATCCTTAGTTTTCATTTATTTTATGTTAATATTTATAGTTTCTGTTTTCTTAAATAGGATTGCAAGCCCAACATATCAACGTACTGCAAGTTTTTCCTTTCATATTTCTGATTCCATTCTCTTTTCTCTTTGTTACAATTGTTTGTCCTATGCTAATCTAGCCTAGTTGTTAATAATTTTTTCATTTATTATGAAGGAAATTATAAAATATAAATTTTATAGATTGTTAGTCTAAAGTACTGGATAATAAACTATGACCCATAGTGCAAAGGATGATCACACTCGATATCGTCAAGATGTTAAAATTGCGAAAAGTTACAATACTAATGACCCAGTTATTCAATATTGCACAAACGTATGTCCGTCCGTAATTTTTAATTAATTTCTTCTATTCACCTTAAGTTAACTCAAGCAATAGTTTTACAGAATCGTAAATTTCAGTAATTACTCTGTAGAAAATCAAAATCAACTTATAACCCATTGGAATTCCAGCAAAAATTACCAAGCCCTAAATGATGTTTTATCTTATTCGAAAATGAGGCGAAATACTGATTCTTTCATCATAACTAATCCATTTGAAAGCATTTTTTCTTAGATATCGGTGAAGCAAGATTTGATAGAGGAAGAACTTCGCGAAAAGACTATACGAAGTCATAAAGACTATATTATGGTTGGAGCACCTGAAGTGCTTCAAATGGGAAAAAATATGATCAAACTAATTAAGGCTAAACGTGTTTTGGACATTGGTTTGTTGTTTGATTGTAATTTTTCACTGCAAAAAATGCATAGATTTAAGCTAGCTCGTTTAAACAATGCTTCTTTCCAGTAACCACTTTGCATGAAATCATAACTTTTGTTTTGAGTTATTTTAAAGTACAGTAAGTGAAAATGCTTTTGTTAAACCATGCCTTGTGCAATTAATTTTTATGGTAGTTTTTTATTTGAAGTGGCTGACTGATTGTATAATTGAAATAAGTGAACTTGCAGGTACCTTTACTGGATCTTCTGCATTAGCATGGGCTCTTGCTTTGCCATCAGATGGTCAAATAATATCAATGGATATTTCACATGAAAGTCTGGATATTATAGGGAAAGCAATTTTCGAAAAAATTCCGGACATTGCCAGAAAAATCGATTTTAGATTGGGATCTGCTTTGGAAACATTGGGTAAATGTGCAAAAGATTAGCTAAATACTAATTAATGAATTAAGGGACGGCAGGAAGCTAACAAATCTGCGAGAAATAATTTTTTAAACCAATAAAATCGCAATAATTTGCAAATATACTTATTAAATAACTAAGGGTAAGCTTTCTTAGATGTTTTGATAGCCAGTGGTCAATCGGGGAAATGGGATTTCGCATTTATTGATGCCGATAAGGAAAATTATCCAAATTATTATGAACGATGCGTTCAGCTATTGAGGGCAGGCGGAGTTATACTTATTGACAATGTAAGTTGAATGAAATTTTAGAAGAGGTTTCTTTCGACCGGAAGCCGTCTAGACTGACTGCACATATGCAGAATTATTCTCAGCAACTTTTGCTTTTTTTTTTTTTTTTTTAAATGGCTTTACAACTAACTCATCTAAAATAAATCTAATCCGTTGATTGGGCTAACAGCTATTAGAATTTATTTGCAAAATTGTGGTTTTGTAGTTCTATAGAAGTTGAGGTTTCCACTGCGAATTGACTTTATACCTTTTCTAGAAATATTTGATATCAATCTGATAATCTGATGTTATGAATGAAATCCAAATTATTTGTTGAAAATTTTGTTAGGCTTTATGGAGTGGTACAGTCACCCAAGAAGATAAGGATTACGCCACTCAATGCATCGATAAGACTAACCAGCTCGCCTCTAAGGACAGTCGCGTTGATAATCTTCTACTCACTCTTGGTGACGGCACACACTTGATTTTCAAACTTTAATAATAAAACTTCATCCAATAATAATTTAGTCCACGTCTTCATGTTCAAGTTAAGCATTTTTTTCATTTGGGAAAGCTCCTATAGCTTTTGATGATGGAACTTAAGGAAGGTGATTCTCCTTTATTCTTTTTTTTTTTTTTTTTTACAAATGTCACGCTCAAGTGAGTTCCTTGTTTAAAATTTCGTTAAATGCTGTCTGGAAATTTTGTGATATTTCGAAATAATGAATGAAAATGAACTGGTCACTTAATGTGAGATAGAGAACGGTCGAAGTAATAACTTTACTTCAGAAACAACGAACAGTAGAAGTAACTGAAATGCGTCCCATTCCAATCACATTATCTAAGTTACTATCAGAAAAAAAAAGAACCTACATTGACCCTGATACAAAAGGCAAACTTCAGAATTTGTGAATATACATCATTTAAAAATAATTGAATCAAGGAAAAATGACGGAATCAATATCTAGCACACGTCTATTTACATTCAAAAAAGAACACCAAATATAGTAACGAAAACGAATATTAGTGAACACCGATGCATTCTAAATTTGGTGGTCCAGCCCAGGTTTGCAAAAAAGCATTTCTCGCAGATGTAAATGCTTCTCTTATAAGTTGTAGATTTTCAATACTTGTCACACAGCGCGCCGTGTTTCTCTGATCATACGGTTCTTCGATAAATATCTTAAAGCGCATAGTATTGTCTGCTAACAGATCCCTGAAAGAACGGCATTTCCCAAAATTTCAGAATAGCCTACTTCAGTAGCATTTCGGAATAAGTGCTGCAATCAGTATCTAGGCAATGCATTGATACTTGGCACTGGAAGATGCATATATGATTAAGTCAAACTGAACTACTGTCGTATAGGAAAGAGTTTACATAATCCCAATTAAATTACCTGCTATAAACGCATCCATTACGAATCGATATTGCTTTATTTTTGAAATCAAAATGAGCGAAATAATCAAAAAATGCTATCAACAATTCACCAACAGTTTCGGTGTTGAATTCACGAGCTAAAATTTTTTAAAAATGTGAAATTATTAAAGACGTACAACCAAACTGCTAATTGAACGAATTGACATTGACAGATAATTCAGAATTAAAACATACGTGGCAATGGATGTGGCAGATCTCGAAACAGTTCTAAACTGTCTAGACTGCAAGTTGCATTGAACAAAGAAGGATAAAGGAATTGAAGGTTCGGCAAAACCGGTGGTAATGCTCCGCATTGCAAGAAATGTAGGACCATCAAAATAAGTGAATAACTTCAAAAAAATATTTTTAAAAACTAACTAAAAACAAATTTATGACTCTGGAAATGGGACTTAATGAAACTTAGGGAGAAACTGGACCGAAAATGAGCACAGTAGATGCTTTTAAACACCAAATGGATACTATTCGATGAAGTAATGTGATAAATTTCAGGTACGTAGTTTGAATGCAAAATTAAGAATAACCTATTCAATGTTCCCATCATTGCATTATTAATACCAGCATTGATAGCCCAGTGCTTTACGAGCAGACATAATGCTGGGAAACGATCGTCAACCCTAAATGTTTACAATCTAAATCACATACAAATTATTTCACCATTTAAAACAAAATGAAATTTATTATTTAATTTTTCAGTAGAGTTCATAAGTGGTTATGGAAATTTAACTTACATCTGACATTACGAATAGTAGAGAAATTTGTGGAAATACCTCGAATAATAGTGAAGAAGATGTGAATTATATATTCCAGCTACGTTATTACAATTAATATCTATTTCCAATTCTTCGTATGGTGCAGCCATCTCCAGTTTTATTATTGGGACCTGAAATGACTCACTAAAATGCATTCGAGTATTGGGATATACAAAAATCATTTCTCAAAATACTACTATAATCTGATTACATCTTTTAGCATGTTAGTTTGTAAAACTTACTTTAGCTGGTATATATTGACAGGTTTTAAACATTTGACGCCAATCCGTAACAAACTTCTTATGCAATTTCCTCAGAACGTGTATACTATAACTGAAAATCCCATAGTTCATAACTTATAACTTCGAATATACGTACCAACTCAGATTTGACGCCTGGATGCTAAAGTTATTCATTTGAAAATCTAATTTTAATATTTAAACATAGGTGCCCAAAATACAAGACAACTGACCTTCTATTGGCTTCAAAACTATGATTTTTGTATGGCTGGCAAATACATAAATCCATATCTGAGTTATATGAACCGCAACCATTTACCGTCGAACCAACGGCAATCAAGTTAGAATCCTTGTAAACCTAAATCCTAATACCAGTAAAAATTTCCAAGACCTGTAAGTCAAAAGTTCTAGTCGTCTAATAATAAAAATAACCTGACGAACAAGTGCTAAAAGCTTTTGCCGAACTGTCATTTTCCATGAAAATGTCCTGTCATCCTGAAATTCGTCTCAAATCAATGGGAACTTTGGATTAGAATTACAAGCTGAAATTTAACACGAGAGAAAAAAAAACTAAAAAATTGAAAGTAGAAATCCAAGAGTACCTGCCCATTGATCTGAAAATGTCTCCAGATATGTTCATCAAATGACTTGAATTCTTTTGCAAATGTCGTCCTTTTTTCCTTAATAACACTACGTATGGCTAATGTTTCTTCGACGTAGCTGACGCCTAAATTGAGACATAAGAAATTAACTGCTCGGAAGAAACGACACTGTCGCAACACGTGCCTGAATCAAAATTATCCAATTTCCATAATTAAAGAAGAAATTTTAAGACAATAAAAAAAAAATTTAAATATAAGAAAAACTAAAAACTACTTACCTAAAAGTGAGCACAAAGTTCCATATTTTGATCCTGAACTGCTAAAAGGTGACGAAGACACGCTTGTAGTATGTATGTTTACAGGAGGCAGAATCTATAATAAAAAGCAAGTACAATTAACTTGTTAGTTTTAGGAAGATCTCTTATGTGTAAATAAGAATCTAGGGCATCCAGAAAAAGCTTTCGTTTCATTTAAAAGTTGTCCACCAGAAATTCCAAAAATTGCGAAGCAAAGTCGAGAATAATGGTAAATGCACATGATATCTAATGCCGCATCAGAAAAATGGTTATAACGGAAAATGAAAAACAACTTATGCTTGTGTTAAAAAGCTTTGGTCATAAAAACACCTTCATACCTCTTCTTCTTCTAGAATTACATCCGCATCATCAGCAATTTCACGATAAGCTAGATTCCCACGTATACCATTATTAACAGAACGATGTTCAAGTGTAATCATTGGTTTAACTTTTACTCGCTCCACAGCTACAAAAAAGAAAGAAAAAAAAATTAAATGATGGACATGATTTTCTCAGTTCGCTTACCTAAATTTTGAGTTATTTGATATCTTAACTGACGTTCCCCGATCATGCACTACATCTCTATAAAATGAAGGACTGTATTTTCTACAGATTGTTCTTAAAACAGTGGAATCGACTAATAACAAGTGCAATTTCCAGTATTTGAGAAGCTACAGATTTACAAGTCAAAAGGAAGGTTCAGCAATTTTGAAATAACCATAAAATTGTTAAACGATCTAAAATTTCATCAAACTTACATTATTTTCGATTAAATGTCTATCCAAACTATAGAAATAGCTTTTTCATTAAAGTAAATAAATTTCTCAATTAATATTGTATTAATATTACATAATTTAATTTAGAAAACCATACCAGCACAATCATCGTGACTGAAGTCTTTATTAATAGTTATTGCAGTTTTAGCAGTCTTCGCCTGAAATAGCTTATTTCCAACAGCAATGCTAAAATTGTGCACGATAAAAAAATCCATGTGTTTTTTTTTAAAATGATCGAGCGTATGGTGATCTAAAGTACTCAGAATATTGTAGAGCGAAAATACAATGCTGAAAAAATATTTACATTATTAAAATTTCATTTATGCATTTACATCTTTCATAGAACCAACATCTTTTAACATCCTTTTTGTTTTGTAAAAACTCGCTGCATAACTAAGTATCAAAGTACTTGTTGATAGCATATTTAAAAGGTTTGAAAAAGTAGCTTTTTTTTTCTCGCTCCACTTCTTCAGTCTTCTATTAAAAATAAGAATAATTCTATTAATGAGAACTTTCAAATAAAAAATCAAAAAACAGATAAGTTTTTTCTTTCATGGTATATCGCAGTAGTTGTAATAATCAAAAAAGATAATACAATTGAAATTCTCCGAAAAGCATAACCGCTTCATGAGAAAAAGGCAATCCATGCAGTCCCCAGCTCTAGAATTCAAAAAAACTTACTTCTGTATAAGAATCCCTGTTTTTCTTTGTTTCTATCAACTGTGTCTTTAATTCATCTCCACTTCGCTTTCTGTAAAACAACAATCTGTTGATGGAAAAATCTTTTTTTTTTTTTTTGCTGGAATTTAGATATGCGAATAATATTGAATAGCAGCACATTATAAAACGACACCCAACAATAGTTTTGAAATAAGCTCAAGGATACTGTCAACCAAAAGTAACAAAATTTATAACTGATCATATAATTTTTTTCTTTTTTTCAGAATGGATCCTAATTGGCAAAAAGTTCATCATAAATCAGCAGAGCACAAATTTGTATTGGAAAAAAAAAAAAAAAACAAAAAACAAAAAACAAGGCTGATAGAAAACTGACCTTTTTACAAGTTCGTTCAACTTCATTTCACGCCTTTGCGTTGTGAGTCGATTCGCATTAAGTACTTCATCTATCATTTTCACAAATTCCTCAGTACTGAATCCATTCTTTGTAAGTTGAATCCAATGTGGCATTTCTACGGACAAAATAAGAAAAAATGAAACGAATTTTTTTATAAAAAAAAGTTAAAAGGAAATTGAATCGAACTTGATTCCATCTTCAAAACAATTTAAACCAAAGCATCAGCATAATTCCCGCATTCCTAAGGCATACGGGATCAAAAACCTAGTAGCATATTTTCTGATATAATTTTAACTTTGAAGGGAGATTATCAGATTCAAACGTGCAAATTTAGGTCCTTGTTCTGCATGCAAAATATCCCAAATGTATAATCTGTAAGTCGTATTCAAATTATTTCTAAAAATCCAAACTGATTTTCTAAATTTTCTACTTTTTTTCCACTAAAATTATGGATTCACTTGAATCTTAATTTATCCATTTTAGCCAGTGGTGGTAGTGGATTATTTTGAGATATTATTTTTCAACATTAAAATGACATTTCAAAGAAGTGATTTACTTATTGTCATCGTTTTTCTAAAGCATTCCACAGTATCTTTCACAAATTTCCATTCCTTTTTCCACTCAAAAAATTTCCATTTCCAACGTTTTATCTTTCCGGAAAATTCAGACTTACCAGATTTCCCTGAAAATTTCGTAAAGATAAAAGAACTGGAAAAGAAAGACTCAAAATTATATTAGTTTTGTTTTAATAAAATAGCGTCTGAAACACTACATATGATTCTTTAAACCGTTACAAAAAAAGGTGCAAGGAGATAATTGAATGGTATATATGTGAGAACGAAAATCTATGTATGCAAGTTTTTATTCACAGTCACATCAATCCCAACAAAAGAGACAAAGAGGAAGTCATTAGTTTTATCAAACGAAGCTAAGAACTTTAAAAGTATTTGCTGCATTTCATCAACTAATAATCAAGATTGCTTGACCACTAAATGACCATATATATTGAAAAAAAGTAAAAAAAGGAATGAAATATTTTTTAATTTACCAATCGTGTGATACAAAATTGGTGTTATAAAACCCGCATAATACAGTCGTCTTACGATACTTCGGCTCGCTGCCCAGAAGGCTTTCTTTTGAGTAAAACCAAAACCAGATCCAAAAAAATGCGAAGCAGGAAGGTGATTGATTGTCATAGAAACGTGATGACAACTTTCATGTTTTGTATTTAACTCAATTTGCTGCTCTGTCGTTAGTCTCATCACTTAAAAAATAGAAATCAATAAGTTTTGCAGATGCCGACTCTAATAAATCACTTTACATTATTATAATACACCACTGATTGCGATAATCATATACGTAGGCTTACTGTCTTAATAATGCTAAATATCCTCGAAAAGCCGGTCTTTGCATTAGTATTCCAATTTCATTAATGATTACAATTGTATTAAGTGAAAAACACGGGGAATATCATCTAAGCATTACAAACCTTCCGTTTTATCTAATAAGCAAAAAACAATCAACTCACTGCAGGTGCTCTTGACACATTCCAGATTTGTGTGCATAAGCCAATTCATCAAAAATTCCATATAACACGGATTTTCAAAAAATTCACCTTCGGTACCATCAACTGTTATTTGTTCATTCATAGCTCTGCAAGACTACGATTCCTTTGTTGGTAAGCAATTGTTATAGCATATTAGAATATGACAATGATAACATATTTCCCACTAAATTTCATTAGCCGTACAATGGAGAAAATAAAAAAAAGCAAGAAATACTGTCCTATGTCCCAGCATTGGCAATGCAGATAAAAAGATTAAAAGACAACACGACAGAATCTATTTAAAACTGACCTTCTGCTGACTGTGGAAGATATCGAGGCTTTCTCTTGCAAACGCTTCTCATTAATCGACGATGTTTCTTTCAACAATGGCACAGGTCCATTTGGATCAATCGCAGAAGGTTGTGCTTCAGTTTCACCCAGCAAATAAGGCTTCAGCTGCTGACTAAAAACAATTGTCCATTATACTGTTAATGAGATTTTATTAGAACCTGAATGACAAAAAAACGGTCAACAAGATGACCTTAAAGGCAGGAAATGTGACTGACAAAATAACATGGCTGAATTAGGTTTCAGAAAAAATTACTGTCGGACTAGAAAAAACAAGAAAAATAGGACTGAATTTTTAATAAAAAACTTACAAAATTGACTCAGCAACAGCAAGACATTTGAATTTCTGCTTAGAAAGCCTTTTTAAGTATTTCTCATAAGTTGAAGTTTTAATAACGTTACAGAGTTGAATCACACTAGCGACATCATAGTAATATACATCACTGCTATCGAAATGCTTTCTCAAGTTCGTTCTAGCCTTGCTATGAAGTACAACGTTACCAATCGTGCAGAATTGCTGATGACGCTACAATCGTCACATATTAGTTTGAAACCTAAAGAACGAAATGCGACATATTCATCAGCAATACTGTTTAAGTTAAAAAAATTTGATGCAGCTTCCAAAGCAACTTACGAATGAATATGAGTGCACTCTGACTTTTCGTTGCGCACAGGCACGCATCAATTGCCAAAATCTACCACCTCTGCAACATGAAACTATCAGTTTAAAAAAAAATCAGTTCAAATTTTCTTCAAGAAACCTATGCATTTCTCAGTGTGTAATGGCTTTTCTTTTTATCTTAGCAAGAACAAAATATTTTATTATGCAGTTCTGTCCAGAAAGCATTCGCAAGTAACGAACAAAAAAATAACATAAAAGATTTAAAAAATGGTGAATAGCGATATCGTAATCGTTACCTAGTATTTTCATTTTCAAAGCTTTCATCGGATGATTCTAGCTGGATTGTATCACCGCTATTTTCGCCACATTGGCTACTATAAAGATCCCGTCCATCACCAAGATAATCAGATCCGTTTTTTGTAGTCATAATACTAACATCATCTGTTGCAGGTTCTTAATTCCTAAAAAAATAGATAAATTCAGATATGTCGCATATTAAAATCACTCATGTGCAAAAATAGGTCATAGTTAAACTATTGATAAAAAAAATACCGCACTTAATTACCCAATTAGAGAACATCAATGCCAATGTAATGAGTAATCGATCGTATGAGACTTCTAAGATGTCCTAAGCGGATTTCTTTATAATAAAATTGTCTTGACCACTGATTCTATCTTTTCAATTAATACCCTTCCACCAATGTTATTCAAACTGAGGCAAATGACACCCCAATGATGTATACGAAATAACCGAAATTCTGATAAAACGCAATAAGTTTGGGGAGATATTAGCCAAAGCAGACACAAAAGTGTAACAATTAGTCATCGATAACGGCTATGGATAACGATTTTATGACTTCAGCACTATTTGTCAGTATTTCTTTTTATAAACACTTTTCTTCATTGCTTTTATATTAAGTGGACATATTATGTCAAAGAAACCCCAACAGAAATCGAATTCGTTCCAAGAAATTGTAACTACATGAAAACTTGAGGTTATTATCTTATAATAATCTATGTCAATATATATTTATTAGTAACAGCAATATCTATTTGGTTGAAATCCGTTATGAATGATGAAATTGGAACAATATATCAACTTCAATATCAAAATGGTCAAGTATTTCGGCATAAAACAGCAGATGCGAGCTTATAATCCATGCTCAGATAAGGAAGGAATTAATATATTTGTATGAACTTGAGAAAATAATAAGCATGAAAACATCTGCAAACAACAACGAAACCACCGAGACCTCCCAGAATACCCGAACCACACCTCCTACCTTAGCTAACATATCACGAGAGAGCGACCGTTACCTACAATTTCAAGGTTTCGAATTAAAATGCGGCCGCAAAGTTTTAACGGGCGTTCACCAACGACGTTCTCTGTTTTGATGTGTATTTTTTGGGTTTTATGGTTGGGATCGTCGTGTAATTAGAGGTCAGACATCTAAGGCGGAAAGATTTAAATTTTTATTTTAAATTTAAATAATTCAGGAAGGCGACTACTGTGCATTATATGCATATAAAATTGCTTCAGTTCTGCGCGAATCATTCTCGTCGTCTCTTATCATCATGTAAGTCTGCCAATCTTCATAATAGCTGAAACAAAAAGATATGTCAAGAAGTTGACCGATTGTGCTTTGGAAACAGCGCATCAATGGTTGGCGGTATTCGACAGCTGATTTATATCTGATTATTTGAGACATTTTTCAACAGGAAATTTTTTCAATGATAGTGTTAACAAGAATGGAAGCCAACATTATTCATAACACGTAATTTCTCTATTGCACGGATGATATCAGTTCTAAATGTTCAAAATCCTAATAATTTCGATGTGGCATAAATACAATTTAGTTTAATTGCTTGATGACAAATTATAAGCCTTATAAATGTTATAGTCAGAGTTCATTTCTTTGGAACGTTTTTGAAATTTCTTTGGGACTTACTACCATATTCCATTAGCGAATCAGTGTGTCTAACTGAAATGATTTTTGCCGTAACGTTTTATGAAAAAGGTGGTAATATTATATGTGTACAATATTGTAGCTCTACAAATTAGCCAATAGATTAAATGCTGTTGTTAGCCAAGCAAAATCATACACAATCTTTTACAGCATCAGTTAAAATAATATCAAGAAAAGAGATGTCTTGCGTTGCACCGGCGAAGTTTGAGCGTTTACCAGAATTAGCTAAACCAACCCATTATACTCTAACCCTGTCACCAGACTTTAAAAATTTCACTTTTCGTGGACAAGAAACGACTGATATCGAGGTTAGTTTTATTGTTAATAAGATTTTGTTAATTATTACTTGAAAACGTTTCTCCTTTGACTTCTCAAATTGTCTTTCTTGAAAAGTTCAGTTTACATATGTATATAATTCACTGGCATTTGTTGAAGAATATTTAGAATGAAGTTTTAATATGTTCATTTGACAATAATTGCTTTCAATAAATTTACCACATTAAAAAGAAGCATGGATGGATTCTATCTAGTTGAAGTTTTGTTATCTGTTATAGATTTTGAAAGGCACGGATCATTTGAAGTTACATTCAGGTGAAATTGATATCAAAAAGGCTCAGCTTATACTAAGTGACGGATCAGGTAAATTTTTTTGGCTTGACTTTTAACAGAAATGTTGAACTGAAGTTTGTTATCTATGTTGTATGCATGTACACACATACAAATACATACCAGTTGCTTAGAATGATGAAGCATAAAAAAAGAGAAACTATTAATTTTGAATAACGTATCTCTCCACAATTCTGAATTTTTTGGTAATTACAGTAGTTTTACTAATTGATTGGTTAATTACTTTTTCCTTGAGGGCCTAAGTCTGTTTGTGCACAGTTTACACTTTCAGTACTGCAAGATCTCGATATAGAATACCATAGGAAATGGACAACTGTAACGCTGAAATTGCCCAAGCATATTTCTCCTCAAAAAGCAAAAATTTCATTGGATTTTGTGGGTGAACTGAATGAGAAAATGCGAGGCTTCTATCGATCACCCTACAAAGATGTCGATGGGAAGGAATGTTATTTAGCTGCTACACAATTTGAAGTTAGCATTCTTCAACTGCATACTGAATAGTCCAGTATCTTCTATCTGTAGCCTTTCCTCAAATTTCGAGAGCCGCGACGCGGCAAAAATAAAAGTTCTACACATTAGTTTTTGACTACAGTGTTGTTATCTTCTGAGTCGTTTTGCCAAGCTTGCTTAAATCATGGTTTCAGAGCACATTTGCTAGGCTTGCATTTCCTTGCTGGGATGAGCCTATCTACAAAGCAAAGTTCGATGTTACACTTATAGTGGATGAAGGGCTTACAGCACTTTCAAATATGGTGACCACTTTTACTTCCATTTTTATTTGTGTATATGCTTCAAAACTATTTGAAAGATATTTAAATATTAAGGTATATATATATATATATATATATATTTATTCCGTAATTTGATAAAATCTAAGCTACCATAGTCTTACGATTAAATTGAGAGACTACAATGTCATCGTTCTCCACATTTCATTTTTGTGATTTAAAAGAAGTGAGATAATTAATGATGATGGAATTGGTATAGCTGCACTTGCATACCACTGTAAATTGGTTCATATCTGTAGTTTGCAGAACCTTAAATATCATCCTCTCGATTTTGAATATTCAACGAAATTTGTGACAGTTCGACTTAGCTTTGTTTATGTAATTTACATTTATAACAACTGCAGAATATGATAAGCGAAACAAAGGTCGACGATAAGAAGGTAGTGAAGTTTGCAACTACGCCACCAATGTCAACATATCTTGTTGCATTTGCTGTTGGTCAACTGGAATATATCGAGGTGGGTAACGCTTATAATTTTTCTAAATTTTTTTTCAGAATGTTGAAGTAGTGCACAAAACTGTTCATTAACAGTTGGACTCATCTGATTTTAATGACCATATTGATTTTCAGTTTTATAGCAGCTTGTTATTTGAATATTTGTTTTGATGACAATGATTTCTCAATAAAACCGGCAGGAACAACTACAGAAATCATTAGTATGAAATCCATGTTTGTAGATAGTATTTCAGTGCTCATTTAGAAATCAAGTCGTTTATTCCAGTTGTTGTTAAAATCTTTTTCTATAGGGTAAAACAAACAGAAATTGCACAGTACGATTATATACTTCGCCCGGTAAAAAGAACCAGGGAAAGTTTTCACTGGAAGTTGGAATAAAAGCGCTTGATTGGTACAGTAAATGGTTTGGTATCGACTATCCGCTACCTAAATGTGACCTCATAGCCATTCCTGATTTCAGCATGGGTAATAATCTTGCATTTTACATTAATTCGAAGTCGATTTGGATGACCATAAATTAATTGTAGCTGAATGATCAATTATCCATCGAATTATTCGACTGAAATTTATTCATCAACTCTACAAACTCAGACTCGTTAATGATGTTTAATTTTGGTTAAACTTTAAGGTTTTTTAAGTTCTTTAGTTTCTTACATATGTTTTTAGGTGCCATGGAAAACTGGGGATTGGTAACATATCGCGAAGTAGCATTGCTAGTTGATCCAACCAAATCTTCTACACGACAAAAATCTCGTATCGCACTTGTTGTCGCTCACGAACTTGCTCATTTCTGGTTTGGTGATCTTGTTACAATGGTTGGTGTTTCAAACTAATTGTTACAGTGTTATTTAAGTCTCAATTAGAAGTCTGAATTTATGTGACATCTTCGCATTCTGTTGGAGCCGTATTGATTAGGTAATTTGGTCAGTTTTTAATTTTTTATTTAACAGAAATGGTGGACCGATCTGTGGTTAAAAGAAGGCTTCGCTTCGTTTATGGAATATGTATTTGTTGGTGCAAATTATCCGAATTTTAAAATATGGCTACATTTTGTCAATGATGAACTCGCATCAGGTTTTGACTTAGATGCTTTACGAAGTTCTCATCCTATCGAGGTTTGTCCCTTTGACCATTTTATTTACTTTTTTTCATGTTTTGTCTTTCATGTTTAGGAGTGTAAAATAAAAGAATCTAGATGTATTACAAGGCAAAATAGCAACTCAATTACATCTCAAGGCAACAATAAATCGTCTTGATGTTCGCTTTTATGTATTTGTATGCATTATTAAATATTGGAAATTTGGTAAAACAACAAGTGGAATCCAACAGACAATTATTTTTCCAAAAAAAAAGCTGTATAAATGAGGAGACAGTTGTAAAGTTCTTGCAATTCTATAGAGAATGTGTTTGTCAAACAGACAAATACTTTATGTAATCTATAAAAATGCACTTAGCTTTTCAGATTGAAATAGATAATCCTAATGAATTGGATGAAATCTATGATAACATAACGTATGCGAAGTCAAATTCAATCAATCGAATGTTGTGCAATTATTTAGGTGAGGAGACATTTCAAAAAGGATTGCGGATATATCTGAAGAGGTTCCAGTACAACAATGCAGTTACTGCTGATTTGTGGAAAGCGCTAAGTGAAGCTTCCGGTCAGGTAAGCTCCATGATTTTCTTTTTGTGTTTATTTCCTTTTTATTCTTGATCCTAATCAAATGAACAACTGTTTTTTTTGATATAGAGAGTCTGAATAAACGATTATAGCATATCATAAAATAAACGAAGTGAAAATTTCTATCTATTTTTACCACATCTATCGGATTTTTATTTCAGGTGACCTTGTCTTAATAGGCTTGTGAATTTTGAGCAGCAAATTTCGAGTATATGAAATCTTTATTAGAACATTCTTAGTGTTCTAAAATTCAGGACATCGAAACACTGATGTCAACATGGACAAAACAGATGGGGTATCCTCTTGTTAGTGTTAGTCAAAAAATTGATGGAAGGAACAGAATCCTAAGGATGAATCAAAAAAGATTTCTCGCTGATGGTACCACCGATGAGAAGAATTCGTTATGGCAGGTTGGTCTAATTGTTTTATTTGCATACTATCTAGTATTTAGTTTATGCATGTAAACTACTTTCGTTGATGGATTGATAATGTCATTCATTACTTCCATCAATCGAAAATACGAGTAATTAAAGATGTGTTTCCAGAAATAATCAAAGATATATTTCTAAAAAATTAAACAATTATAAATAACTGAATCTTCATATATTTGCAAGAGTGATCTGGGATAAAATTCCAAGACATTGTGAAAACCACTGTATCTACAGATTCCAATCACGATTTCCGTATCATCTGAGCCAGAAAGCATAAAAGAAAGAGTTCTGATGAAAGGATTTCAGCAAGATGTTACGATTAATGATGTAGATCCTAAGGACTGGATAAAGGTGCGGTTCATGTAAAAATTAGATTAAAAAGGTTTCAACATCTTTTTTTCAATCACTACTGGTAAAGTGGTTGCTGATGCATTTTCACTTAGCTCCTTTACCTGAAGTAACTTGTCAGCGATGTTATCAATCCTTAGTCTTATTTGATAGCTAATGAAATAGTATGTTTTAAAGTATTCACTCATCAGTGTTATGTAGAACTTTTTAAGATTGCCGGACTACTTTTCGAAGTTGTAGTAGCAGGAGCAGATAGGTTGAATTAATGTGTGTTAATGAAAGTCTCTTTTATTATGTTTTGTTAAAGAAAATATGTTATAGTTGAATGTCGGGACTACAGGTTTTTATCGTGTTTTATATTCACATGATATGCTACATACGCTTTTACCTGATTTTGCAACCAAAAAGATTCCTGTACTTGACCGATTTGGTATTGCAAATGATATGTTTGCACTGGTAATTTTTTTTTCTTGCCTGGTAAAGTTGCCTTTCTGTGTATGTTTAATCTTACATCAGTTCGCTTAATTTTTTTTTAAAAAAAAAAAGATCATTTGTAGTGTAGGGATCAAAAGGAAGAGTTTTCAGGTTAAATCCGGGCGAGAATCAGCAAAACAATTTTTATCACTGCTTAAATCATCCTCAAATGAAGATGACTACACAGTGTGGAGTTCTCTTGATTCAGGTAAGATTTCTCTGGGAACCGATTCATTTCGTACTATTTTGTTGTAGAAATGATGTTTTTTAAGGTTATAGAGTTATTATTTAATCTAAAATTAATCTTGCTAATGAACTGTTCAATTTCTTTTCCAAACTTGTTCCATTCATTTCCTGCGAATTTGTAAGTGTAAAAAGAAGTTGCAGGTATTTCTGAGCTGTCGAATGTATTGTCCCATTATGATCCCGTTATCCGTTCGAAATTTAATAAATTTATTATTAAAATTTTGACACCAGTGGCAGATCGACTTGGCTGGGAAGCTAAACCGAATGAAGGTGCGTTGAAAAAATTTCCATTTTTCAACAAAAAAAGCAGAAGTGTTTTGGCATTCAAAAGGGATTGCATTTTTATTAAGAGGATTATTCTTGCCTATTAATTTTGCTTCTAGTCAAAAAAAAAAAAAAAAAAAAACGTCAAATTTTCTAGATCTCATGATACCTCTTCAGATTCTCAAATAGCTTTATTGCGAGCGCTAATTCTTGGTCGACTGGGTCGTTGTGATCATGAACAAACTATTAAAACAGCTAGAGAGAAGTTTTTGGAACATATTAGAAATAAAACTGAACTTCATCCAGACTTACGACTTATGGTACATTTATAAACAAGATTTTTCAAAAGTAAAATTAACACTCATTTTTTAGAACAGAAATTTTCAATAATTCGACGTCAAATATTTAATTTTTTGCAGATATACGGGATGGTGGGAAGGCATTACGGAAAAGAGGGATTTCAACAATTAAAAGAAGTTAGCTATTTTGCTTTTAAATTGAGGAAGATTTTTCGCTTGTGATATTTGATATTTTGCTTTTGTAATCCATTAATGTCTGAATTTCAAAAATGGGAAGCGATAATTTGAAGTGCAAACCTCATTTCCCATACTAACACCAAAATTTTTGTATAGGATATACATTGCTAATAAAAAAGAATCATTATAACGCACTTACATCTGAATAGTGTAGTTCGTAGTGATTCATTGTTTCAGTACAGAACGATAACTGAACGCCTAATTGATATTATATGCCACTAAGTTTTGAAATACAACATTGTTTACTTGTTGATTCTTGATTTTCTTAACGGATCTGTTATAATAGTCTTGCAGATTTACGAAACTGCAGGTTTCGGTGAAATAGAACGAAATTGCATTGTAGCAATGCCACAAACATCTGATACGGAGTTGTTGAAGGAAGTTTTCGAATACTGCATCCAAAATGTAATGCTTCTCAATCATTCTGAATTATCAATCATCCTGATTTATTGTAATTATGACTTCCACAAAGTTAACTGCTATCAGTAGTATTCTTTGAAATAGAGCGAAAACTCTGAAGTTTGGAGTTTTTATGAAACTTTTCTTTTGCTTAGCTAGTGGCTTTGATATTTTATATCCCTTTATCATAAAGATGTTACTTTAAAACTTGTCGTCTGCAAATAATATTTTAGGGCAAGATTCGTTCGCAGGACATCATTTATCTTTTCTATGGTGCGTGTGTGAATAAATCCGGACAAGATTTTGCGTGGAAATATTTCAAGGTGAATACCTCTGATTTTAAAAACGTTACAATTCTTAATACCTTTTAAGACTTAGATCATTTCAAAAGTTTTTTGATCAGGTTTAGAGAATAATAATGGTAATCATTGCGAATATTGCACTTTTTGATATATTTCAGGACTCTACCAAATTGCTGCTTCAAAAATTTGGTGGCGCAAACAGTTCGCTTTTTCAGCATTGTTTCAGAACTAGTGCTGATTGTCACTGCTCCAGCGTAATGGTCAAAGAAGTTGAGGTAGCTAATCTTTAATTACTCAAAACGATATATAATTCTATAGTAGAATTGGTAGTTTAGAATTCCGTAAAAACTGCTTGCGTTTACGTGTGTAATTTACTCTTGTTCTTTGAAACGCCAACTTATTGGAATTCGATTGTGCCTAACAATGAGCTGAAATGAGTTTAGTTCCTTTTTCTAATTCAGGACTTTGTTTGCTCGTATTTGGGAGCAGATGAAGCTCGAACTATTAATCGTACCACGCAACAGATCATCGAATCAGTACATTTGAATGAGCAGCTTTTGAAGCGAAACGCGGATGTCATCAGTGAATATCTTGCTGCCGCCGATTTCTAGTTCATCCACACTCGGAGATCGAACTCCGGTTAATTTAAATTTTTTTTTTTCGAGTTGATTGACACTGCTATTTTCGGAATGTTAAATTTTAAATTTGGAAGAGAAATTTACAAAAGCAGCATAGGATGAAGCAGCTTGCACAAAGAATGCAGTGAATTTCAACTACGTTTTTCCATTTCTTTAGAATATTTCTCAATTTTTTCTGTTTTTTTCATTTTTGGTGTACCCTGTTGAGCAAAATTTCTATATTTTTTAAGTTATATATTCGTTTAAAAATCTGCTTGGTTTTTGTGACTTCCAATTAGGAAACACTGATCACTTCCCGTCTCAAATTTATATCATCATGTTTGTTAACTTTTTCAGATTTTTGAAGATTTTATTGAAATAAGCCTATCCAAAAGCTTTTAAAGAATCGTTGTTGAGTTGAATTTCTCGTTTTATTTGCTATTTAACATTTTTTCATGCTTTGTTTAATGAACTTTGGTGTGTATTTCAATTTGTAACTTCCTGGGTTTTGCTTAGAGTTTTTTGGGCTTCGTTATTCGAACATAAAGAGATTTATCGAGTACTCGCTTAGCTATAACAAACGAACAAGAAAAAAGATATGATCTTGTTCACAACTTATTTACAAAAAATGATCACATTTGATCATCATGCCTTATTAATAGCTGAGGAATGTTCTGGTTGTTGACATATATTCTGGCGGTAATGGTGTTATCGACTGTGATGCTGTATTACTGCCTGGTCGCGGTGGATGTTCGAAGACATTTTGAAAAACCGGAATCGTGGGATGTGAAGTTGTTTGACTGCCGGGATGTTTTGCCATATTCTGGAACGAAAATTATTTGTAAGAGCTACAAAAAAAAATTTTTTTTTGCTTTCTTGTAATTTGCATAGCGAAATGATCAAATTAACTAAATGTGAAGTGCTTGCTAAAATTGTATTAGACAGTTTAGTAGTAGCTTTTTCTATTTTACAATTTTGGATTAAAGCTACAAATTGTAAAATGTAGTGCAAAATGTAAAGTGCTACCTCCGGTTTCTTCATACCCATAAATGATCGCCATGATAATGGACTTGAGTGTTTGAGTTTTGCTTCGTTTACATAACTGCGCCCGCTTTTCGTCAAAAATATGTAACTCATTACCATAACACCAGCCAATAAACCAAACATCAGAAACATGCATGCTAATCCGGCAAGATAGAATGAATAACCATATTCCTTCTGAAATGAAGTTTTGTCTGAATTTTTTCCAATTTTTTTGCTCATCATGCTAGATGTTTCTTTATTAGCTTAGTTATGGGTGAGAAGTTTCAACTAAATGTTGTCGAAACGAGTGAATATCTAGATCTTGAAGTCAATAGAATCATTTTGATACATAGTTTTTCTAAATTATGGGAGTATTAGCTAATCATAGGTTTTCTCTTTAGTTGCAAAGTGAAGCACATTTAGAAATTTCGACGATTTATGTAAATAAAGGCAATAATCATATTTAATACTAAGTTATTAATTTAATTACATCTCTGAAAATTAGATGTTTACCTTGAATGTATTTTTGATACCAATCAGGAAACGAGATTCCAACATTTCAGCGTTAATCATAAAAACAGCCAATCCCACTGATGAGAACAGGACTGAAGATAATGGTTTGTTAATTAACTACTAATTAATTTGTTGCAGTTAGTTCAACGCTTAATACAAAAAATCAATAGATGCTGAATATTTTGAGATCCAATCTGTAAAATGGATGTTTTTTGATTTCCATTGCAACAAATACTGTCCATAATTTTAACACAATCCATTTTTTAAGTGGAAAAAAACAGTTATTAACTTACAAGATAAAAAGCTAAACAGGATGAAAATGATTGTAAGCAATCGAACTTTGCTGGCTCGATATACGCCAAGTACGAGAAATCCTGCAGCAATGAGTCCAAATGCTAAGGCAAACAATAGTAAAACCAGAACTGCATAATGCCAACCTGAAAACATACGTAAATTTTGAAAAGCTCTTTGTAAATTGTCCAAAAATTGGTATTAATCAGAATGTAGAAGTCAAATACAAGTACAAAATTGAGGATAAGAGGTTTTTTGATTGAAATGTTTTAAAAATTAAATTTACCGAAGAAATATGGTGTCTTGATGAGTTTTTTACGGCAATCACCGATTAAAAGGAATCGACAAACATCTACTTTTTCATAATAATTAATCAAATTATCACTAAAAATGTACCAACAAGGTACACCACCGGGGCAATACATCCACAAACCACTTTGCATATATCGATGAGCGTCTGTATCTTCTGCTACCTTAAATTTTTCGCATTTTAAATTTGCCACTTATCATGCATTTCCAAAGAGAGCTAAAAATTGAAAATATTTGTGATAAGAATAATTTGAAAAAAAAATTTTGAAATTACCTGCCATGCTGGAGTCAATAAAGCAATAAACATAAACAGATTGCCAACACATAAGGGGACAAAGGCCATAGCCTGAACTTTCAGCAATGGATTCGACCAATCCAACATCGTTTTTGAAGAAGCAAAATTTTTCAGATTTTTTTTTTTCACTATTTTTTGGATGTTATTGATAATATTTTGTTGTTCTGTAGGATCATTTTATGATAATGCAAAATCCTAAAGAAATGAAAACATCAGAAAATTGAAAATGGAACATTATTTATGCATTTTGGGATTAAATTGCAGTATAGAAAAGGATACCAAGAAGGGGTCATTAAAATTTCTGATTTTATTTAAAAAAAAAACTTCCAGAATAAACATCTACTGAAATGAGTAAGTGGAACTTTTTTATAAATAAAATGAATTTAATAGTTGCTGAAATCTAAATAAAGCAATTCATAGATGATGGAAAGGAAATTACTCTAATTGTTACAAAAACTATCAATGAGGTGTGATAATGAAAAGAGTGAAAAGATCAGTGAGGATAAGCTCTCAACAAGTAAAGTAAACCCGTTCAAACAAGGAAAAATGTAATAGTGAATTTCTTAGAGCAAAAAATTTTAATAATATCTAAATTTAAGCTAACAAGAAAAAAGTTTTTCACACTTAAAATACTTATGGTATTTAAAGAATATTTCAAAAATTTTAACTTCGATCTCTTATTTCTTTCTCTTTCATTGTACAAAAAAATTAAATTCCTTCATTAATGTTGAGAAAAATTAATTAGATTAAAAGATGATCTAATGTACTAACTATTGATTACTTTGATATAAACTAATCACATTTTCATTACAATACAATGATATCAATTTCTTCCTTATTCTTCATCTTTGACGATAGCCCAAGGATGATTTCATTCATTTCAAAATGGAATATGTTATCCATAATTGATAGATAATCAAGCTTAAATTATACATTACATAAGATGGACATCCGTTGATCCATAAATGCTGCTATTGCAACCGTTGATTCCTTTCCGGATATTTCTAATGAATCAGTGTGGATGGGAATAGATTCAAATGGATTTTAAGTTTATATAGAATAATTTTAAAGTTTGCTTCTATTGAAAAATGTGGAGAAAAAAACATAGTTGAAGTTCTTTAGTTTATTAAATATGATAATAAAAACCTAACTTAGAGAAATTTTATTGAATTTTGGCAAAATTAAAACGAAAATTCAATAAAAACTGATGTTGAAAAATTGTAAATTAAAAAATGAAATTATTGTTTCGAATTAATGAATCTCGATTTCCAAAAAAAAGTAGCTCAAAAATAGTTCAATGCTATTCATTCTTACAACTTTCGAAAATTATTTATAATTTCTTGCAATGATTAATGAAACATAAAACTTGAAAGAGCAAAGCATTCTGCTGATTTTTCTTTTCCTGAACAAGTAATAGTAGTAATCGTCTATGATGTCCTTTTTTTAGGCGGATGGAACAGTTAACTTTCAAAAACTAGGGATTTGCTAACCAAAAAGTTCAAGAAATAGATCAGAGTTGAACTCTACTGAACAACGAATTAGGAAGGTAAAAGTTTATGTTGCTTCCAATTTAAATGTGATACGAGGGAAATATGAAAGAGTTTTAAGTGTAAACAAAAAAAAAAAAAAAAACTAGATTCTTCAATAATGGAAAAAGGAAAAATGCAATAAAAGAAATCAAAAATTTTAGTCAAATGATGAAAAGACAGATATCTCCTTGGCAACAGACATTTAAAAAAAAAAATAAATGTTAGCCTTGGCCTAGCGAATTATTGGACAGACACGAAATGAAAGAAACATAAACATATGATATGCCAGACAGGTTAGTAGAAAATGAAATTCATTTCGGTGGGTGTGTGTGTGTCTGTGTTGTGTATGTGTGACAAAAACAATGTCATGCATTCTGAAGGTATTGACAGGTTCAACTGCTTAACTTCATTTCAGAAATAGTCAAAGGAACAAAGATTACGCCATGCTGTGAGCCACAGTAATGCAATAATGAATAAAAATATCAATAATATTAGGGTAACTAATTGTTTATCAAATTTAAAACTAAGTTCACTTCCTCTAACATTTAAAACATTAAGAAAAAAAAAACGATTAAGGTTTTTGATTGAAAAATAAATTTTCAACATGTTTTTAGAAGGTATAATTTAGGATTTACGTTTGTGATTGAAGCTACAGAACTGACTAATTAAGCTATGCTAACTATAACCAAAAAAAAAAAAAATTGACAGTTATGTGGGCTATTAATTTATGCAATTATTCAAGGTAAATTTTTAGATAGTCTACTACAACTATCAAATTACCATCATATTCTTTACTTGGTGAATATTGATAGAAGAATAAGAGAAGCAAAAATAGTTTCTGGGACATTAAGTTAGGAAAATTAACTGAAGTGAGAGAAGAAAGAAAGTGATGAGATTAATAAGTACTCAAAGCAAAGCAGCAAACAAAAAAAAAAAAGATTGTTATTTCAAAAATTCAAACTTAAAAATTTCAAAAACAAAAATCCGAAAGACAAAACATCAATAGTTCAATATTCTGTTTCAAAAAAAAGATC